GGAAAAATTGACTCTATTAATTAAAATACATTTCAAATTCACTTCAAATTTCACAAGTCTAATCAATGACTTTTAAGTAAATGCTGGGGCTAATGTCTAGTGCATACTAAACATAAAAACATTTCTTTAAGAGCTTGGAAATGAGCTTCATTTGTTTTTAGAATTCTTCTTGGCCTATACTGATATACTCAATGCTGGAATTTTAAGTACACTTAGCAAATGAATTTAATAAGTGCTATAAAACCATGCCATTTATAAGAAGAAATTCTTGGTTACTCACTTTCATCTGATTTTCCTAGTTACATTAACTTTATTTTCCCACTTCAGTTCATTTATTCCAGAATTCCAATAGAGGGAAAAAACTGTTTCTTTTAAAAGTTTCCATATTATATTTCAACAGAAAATATCACTAAAACAATATCATTTACACCAAATTGAGGATTAAACATTAATTCTCTTTATATTTGAACACCTCAGCAGACTCTCAAATGCATATAAAACATTTTATATTTGACACTTAAGGAAGAAATGTAAAACGATTCCAAAAGAAAAAAATCAAAAGAAAAAATTCACTTGGATTTAAAATGTTTAAAGTATTTTTAAATTTAATATTATGTTAAAGGACTTTCCATTTGACTGTCCTAAGATATACTAAAAATCAGTATCCTATATGCTAGTCCTTTGGGAATATAATAAAAATATTAAATTAGCATCCATTTATTGAACGTCCATAAAGATACAGAAATAAGTTGAATCCATCTCTGAAGTGGTATAAACGGTTTACTAGTTATTTATGTGTTTCACCATTAGGACTACATAAATTAACCAGTATATCCTTTGAATACTTTACGGAGAAATTTTAAACAATATATAATTAAAATTGCCCAAGAAAAACCACAGTAGCATAAAACAGCATCAATTTTATATAGTTAATATCCTAACCCTACCTTGAAGAAAACTCTGCTGTAAATTGTAATAAGGCATCTCCTTCATTTTCTGCGTTTTCTGGCACTAAAAAACAAACAAAAGAAAAAACAAAAACAAAAAAAACAAAACAAATAGACACAAAAAACAAACCACATAACATCTAATCCCACATATAAGAAATATATTTAATCAATAAAGAGGAAATAAAATTAAATTTTAGCTTCTGTGATATATCTGAGGGGACGGTTTAACTCAACATATATTAGATCTCATCAAACCAGAATCAAAAAGAACCTTAAAATATTCCAAGCTCATAAATTTTGAAAAACCAACTGACACAATCCTGCTAAGCATTTAAAATATGTGCCCAGTTGTCATTTAGGATTTCAATGTTTTCTTGAAATAGACATCTTGTGACTACATTATATTAAATGAGTCTGATATTAAAGACTTCATTAATTGGGAAAATAACCAATTTTATGTAAACATCACATCTATTTCTGCCCACAGGAGTTCTCTAATTTCACAAAGTAAATAGGTCATTATTATTTTAGTGGTCATTTTGCACGTAGCATGTCTTGTTATTCTACAGTACGCATCTTGTAAGTGGAAGTGAAACAGATGGCACATTTAGTTTACTTTTTTCCCTCCAAAGATGGGTACTGTTGAATAGAAGAGTAATATTACTACTCTTAAAACTGGTATCTCTTAATAAGATGTGAGGAAACAAGTATCAGTCACAGAAAGTACACCTGTTTGTTAATCAGCCTCTAGGTTTAAAGAGAGACAGTCATAATTAATTATACATGTAAAACAAAAGTTACACTACCTTGCGTTTTTAATGAATTTTCTTAATGCACTGAGAATTTTTAAGTTTAATAAAATCAAAATTCAAAAGGCTCTGGTTTTAATGAAGAATGCTTACTCTCTATTATTTTATCTCCCCTTACTCTCTTTTATCTTATCTTTCCTGGAGGTCAGTAAGAGATGTTTAAGTTTAATGTTCTTCATAAGTTTGTGTACTAGAAGAAAGAATTCTATTGCTGGACCCAAAGAGCTAATAATACTCACTCATTGGAGATTTTCTCAAGGCAGATGACGCCATGCCAAATACTTCTCCATCATCCACCCCAAATTCTGTAGCATCTTCAAAGTCATCTCCATCGCTATCACTAACCATATGAACATCGGTGCTTTGCTATTTAAGGAAAGTCCTGATTAGTTTCATATTGATTTTTGCATATCAAATTCTAAGAATAAGTTATATAGTAACAACAAGACATAAGCATTATAAAATTTTTATCAAATAAACTCATTTGCTAGAGTAAAGCTTACTATTTTTTCCTTGTAAGGCTCACATACTTTCTAAACTTTCTCTGATACCTGTAGACCGAAGGCTGCAGACTGAGGGAAAATGAAGAATGCTTACAAACTAAATAAAGACAGGGATTTTTGTCTGTTTCTTCCCCAGCATACAGTACACAATTAAGTGCAAAACAAATGAGAAAATGGGTACAACTGGAGAAGTCAGAGACAAAGTAAGCTATGAGTCTCTCAAAAAGTTCACACAAATTTGTATTTGGTAGGTAGAAGCAATGGTGGCATTTTCAAACTTTCCACTTCCTTACTGCAGTGGTTCTCAGGGTTCTCTTTGTGAAATATGGTACACTATCCTCACATTGTTATGGATAACATGAAATACACTATATATGAAAGCTCTTTGTAAACTGAAGATGAGATGTAATAACAATGTTTTACCTACGAGTTGTAATAATAATGTTTTAATTCAGTAAAAGTTATTGAGAATTTACTACCTGCTGAGCACTGATGAATATGCTCTGTTTATTTTGTTTTTAGCAACATCAATTGAAAAGGTATTAAAAACATCTGCTTCAAAGAACTAGGCTGTTATTCTCTAGGTTAGAATGTGATTCTGAAATACTGAGATGTAAAACTTTTGGACTGGGCTGTAAGTACTGCTGAATATTCATGCCTTGGGTAAGAAGAGGGTCCAAGCAAGATATCTGGCTACATGCTTATCTGTCCTATGTTCAATAAATGAAGTCTATAAATACTACTTAGTAAATAAAATTTCTATCTTTTAAAATGTGGCACTATGTACTTAAGTTATAAAATGGGGAAAGTAATTGATACTTCAGTCTATGCAGAATAACCTAATATAACATAAATATTTTGCCAGAAGAGCATTAATAGAAATAAAATCTAAGACTCATAATCAGCCTGGGCAACACTGCCAGACCTCATCTCTACAAAAAAAAAAAAAAAAAAAAAAAGGAGAAAAGTCGGGCATGATGGTGTGCACCTGTGGTCCTAGTTACTTGGGCGGCTGAGGCAGGAGGATCACTTGAGCCCACGAGGTCAAGGCTGCAGTGAGCCTTGTTTGCATCACTGCACTCTAGCCTGAGTGACAGAATGAGACCCTGCCTCAAAAAAAACAAACAAACAAACAAACAAACAAAAAAAAAAGGACTCATAAAAATTTAGCTAGAGGGAATGTCCGAGGTCAGACAGTTGTTGAATCATAGATTTTAAAGCTGGAAGGATCTTAAAAGTCTGTTATCGGCGGTTTTCTAACTTATTTTCACAGGGTTACCTCCCTCCCCTAGGCCCAAACAGGATATTACAATACATAAAAGTAGGACTACTCTGGTTGATACAGGGAGAGGTCAGTGGGGAGCTTAATGCTCTTGGAGTTGGCCTTTTCCTCCTTATATCTGTTGACATCTGGGGTATTGCCAAAGGATCTCAGACCCTATGAAACACTTTTTAAAACTGCTAATCTAGTGATTCTAAGAGTTCCGAATGAGGAAGTCAAGATATTTCTCATTTGACTTAGTGTCAAATGTCAGCATTTCCTCCTCGGCATACCCAAGCATTAATGCAGAGAGTCATAATTATATTTTCCCTCTCAACTTTAAGACAATCTTTCTAATGCTTTGAATAGACAAGATAATGAAGATACATTTGTTGGATGAATAAATAAATGGTCCTTCCCTTAAGCATTTACCTGCTATCTTTACTTCTCACAGAAACATTGGTTCTCCTCCCTTAATAGTTTGTTCATAGATCTAAGATCTCCTCCTGGTTTAAGCTAGTCAACAGCTTAAAAATCCACAATGCCGTCTCATTTTAGAGCAGTGAAGGAGCCTCCTCCACAAAACAACACATTTACTAGGACAACAGTGCTTGAGTTCCCTCTGTGTTTCAGGCAGTCAAATATCTGGAGCATGAAGTTCCCTTTAAATTTGAGGCTTAGTCTTAAACAGGTAAAGGCTCAAGATTTACAAGATATACCACATGTTCTTTTACAGTGTCTAGTCAGGTTCACAGGCAACTGAAAAGAAACAAAGGACCAGTATGACAAATCTTCTTACATCCTCTATCCGGTAAGCTATCATCTCAGTCTTTTCTTAATCTTGCCTAGTACTCACCCCTTCCTTTGAGGCATCAGGTTAAGAACAAGGGGTGGGAGACACAGGGGAGAAAAAAGGGAGTATTCTACATATACATCTTTCTATACTTACCCCTTTTACTTTACTGTCCCACATCTATCCTTTTTCTCTAAATCCCATTCAATAAATTAGCTCCTTCTATAACAACAGGACCTTACTTCATACTAAGATAGTGATTTTAATATTCTCCATGTGTCTCCATTATTCATTTTCCCTTCACAAAGTATAGAATACCCAAACCTCTTAAAATCCCAGAAAATAAAATCCTGTAACTACAACATCTTCAAAGGGAGGTATCTAAAAAGCCAATTTTGTTGAAAAAAGTATATTTCAAATATGAATTATTGAAATATTTCCAAGAATGAACTATTTAATTATGTATAAGGAACTCCCAGTCTCTTCATATTTTCTTAGCCATCTAACAGGTTATAAAGAGCTTTTTCTAAAAAATAAGATAAACAAACTTTTTTTCATTAATGTTTGCTGATGAGAATAGATAATCTCTTGGTATCTGTCATGGCTTCCCTAAAATTCTTTAAATCCAGAAAAGGTATTTATTCATAATTTTAAAAACAGCTAAAAAATTAGTGATTATACTTTGGGCTGTTTATTGCATTCATTTATTACCTTTAACATTTAACAAACATTTACAAATCACTGTTAAGTGCTACATCGTTTGGCCCTGTGTGAAAGATACAGTATATCCTCTCCCAAGGAGCATCATATATTATAAACAGAGTGATTAGTGCTATGACATGTAGATTAAGAAGAGAGGACCTAAATCATAGGCGGCAGGAATCAGGAAAAACTTCCTGCAGGAGATGATAACTAAACCGTTTAAGGCAAAAATTTAGAACTCATAACTGGCATTAAAGCAAGCTTATAATTGAAATACATGTTCCTTTCAGCAACATTCACCAACTACCTATTATGTCAAGGCACTATGTTAAAAACTAGTACAGCCAGGAGTGGTGGCTCATGCCTGTAATCCCAGCACTTTCAGAGCCGAGGCAGGTAAATCACTTAAGGTCAGGAGTTCGAGACCAGCCTGGCCAACGTGGTGCCCTATCTCTACTAAAAACACAAAAATTAGCCTGGTGCGGTGGCAGACGCCTGTAATCCCAGTTACTTGGGGGGCTGAGGCAGGAGAATCGCTTGAGCATGGGAGGCGGAAGTTTCAGTACGTGCCACTACATCCAGCTAACTTTTATATATTTTGTATAGACAGGGTCTCACTACTTGCCCAGGCTGAATGTGAACTTATTTTAAACTATTTTTCAGGCAATTCATGTATCTCTAATTCTTTGAGGTCAGTTACTAGAGTTTACTGTGTTCTTTTGGTGGTATCATCTTTCCCAAATTCCTTATGATCCTTGTATTCTTGCAAAGGTATGCGTGCGTTTGATGAAAAAGTTACCTCTTCCAGACTTTATGGGCTGCCATCAGTAAGGACAGACCTTCACCTGTGGGTGTGTAGAGAGGGTAGGGAAGGAGAGAGGCACTCTGGGGCATGCTGTGGCACTGGGTCTAAGGGCACAAGACACCAAGTGTGGTGTGTGTGGTGACTTGAGGTCTAGGGGGGACACTGAGTCTTGTCAGCTCAGACAGTTAAGAGTCTGTGACATTGGCACCTGTGTGATCCTTGATGGCAAAAGTTGTGGGAGGTCTGCAGAGGCTGCAAGGGCTACTGGGGTCCTCTGCTATGCCTCTGTGTCCAGCAACAAAGGGCCATGGCTAGCAACAATGAAGGCCAGAGCCAGTGAAATGCACATCCTCTGATGTAGAGGCTGGCTGCAGACATGCCTCTGGCAGCATATCCAGATGTAGGCTTATGCACTGGGGTCAGTGCTGGAGACAGAAACAGGAGATGGGGAAGACTGTAAGAGCACACGTGGGATGGTCAGGGCTGGAAGCTTGCTTATGCTAAATTGCAGGGGCCAGCTAGGGTTGGGTGACAGGAATTAGACTATCTGTGTATATGTGGGCAGCTGCAGGGCCATCTGTGATTGCAAGCACAGTGGTTGGGGCAGGAGCCAAGGGCAGGATCAGCTACTTATACACATAAAACTGTGGCAGCCAGGGCTGGCAGCATGTAGTAGCCTAGCTGCTGGGGTAAGCCTCAGGTACATGTAGTGGTGGGTTTGAAGCCTGTGATGAGTGGTCACAGAGCTGTTTTCAGGCACACATGCAGTAGCTGTGCTGTGTCCCTGGGCCAAAGAACCCATGGAGGCAGCAGCTGGGGTGGCTCTGGGACAGAGGGATTTCAGGTGCTTAGGCACCTGAAAAATATGAACTCTGCTGAGGAGGGATTCTAGACCCAAGCAGGAGCAGCTCAGGTGACTTCAGAGACTGTCAAGGCTGCTGGGCTGGGTTCCCAGGCCAGAACAACTACAGCAGTAGCAGTCTTGCAGCTCTGGGTCTTTGCCCATTTTTTAACTGGGTTGTTATATTACTTAGTTTTAGGAGTTCTCTATATTTTATAGACTTTGATCCCATATCAGATGTATGATTTGCAAATACTTTCTCCTATTCTATGGGTTGCCTTTTTAACTCCATTGCTAGTATTTTTTGATGCACAAAACTTTTTAATTTTCACAAAGTCCAATTTCTCTATTTTTTCTTTTGTTACCTGTGCCATTAGTGTCATACCCAAGACATCATTGCCAAATCCAATGTCACAAAACTTTTGCCCTATGTTTTCTTTTAACAGTTGTATTGTTTTAGA